CAGTTCTGTTTGTGACGATATATATATATATATATACCGGGCAGTTCTATTTGTGATATATATATATATAAGTCGGTGAAACTCCGACGAAACAGTTTGTCACAGCCCCTCGTTTGTTGTCCTCTTCTCCCTCTCTGCCTACGGTTTGCCGGGCAGTTCTATTTGACGATATATATATATATATGGTGGTTTGAACTTGAAAGGTTATGGTACCCTCAAAAAGCTTTGATCAAGTTTGATGTTGGAAGCAGTGTTTGAACCTGTGTTCTGATGCTTGGGGACGATCTTGTGAATGTGGTGTGTTTTCAAATTTTCACCTTTAACAGCAGGGGGCCAATGAGTGTCTGGCACTTGTCGCAGTTGTACCAGCTGATGCTCAGTCTTGCTATGGAGGGAAACAGACAGGTGAGTGGCGGAATCTTTTTTAAAGTTTTTCGTATCTTTGTTTTGTAAGGGAAAAAAGTAAGCAATGCATCTTTAGAAAAAGAAGAATTGAAGGAAAGGTGAGCAATGAGTCCTGTTTCTTCAAAAAAAAGAAAAGAGGGCAAGCAAGTGATGAACCTTTCAACAAGGGGGTTCAATATAAAATGACCAAAGGTAATCGGAGATTTGCATTTTGAACTTTTGACCCATAGTCACTGACTGCATTCCACATGTCTGATTCCGGGGGTTGGGAATTTTTAGGCTGGGCAGTGGGCACTAGAAATCCGCTCCAAGTACCCATTCCTACGCTGCGGGTTATGCCCCCCCATCTTGGAAGATGACACACATCTCTCTAGCATTGGGCCCAAGGCGCATGTTCCAAGAACACGCACCTCGGGACGCTTTGACTACAAGGAAGTCAAAGAGATACGTGAGCGATCCCGAGCATCGGGGAGCGCGCGTTACCTCCGCACGAATGCTGATGTCATCACCTGACATCAGCTCCAAAGCAAACTCAACCGCGACGGACGAGTCTGAGGAGGAAAGCGCCGGCGAGATGTGAAGATGCTGGATGTAAAATGAAATGAGGCTATCCTGTCGGGAATCAGAATACTATTCGTAAACTACAGAAGATGCAGGCAGTCAATAAGGAGCTGGAGGTTACACACTTTGACGAATCGCCGATGATTAATGTTTTGCTTTGTTGGTTAAGGTTTACGTACCGCGGGGTACCGCCGGATAGTAAGTTCGTAGATGATTGGGTTAGGTGGTGTGATGATGAGGGGGAGGAGTGTGCTTTGATCTTGCTAGCAGTTGCGTCTCTATGTCGGTATCTCTCCACGGTGTAAGGCAATCTATTTGGGGAAGACCGAACGGGACCTGAACACAAGATGGGGAGCGCATCGAAATATATGCAGTGTTATGCATGCGAGAGAGAGATTGCCTTACACCGCGGTGAGATACCGACATAGATATACATCTCACTTCCGTAGTTGGTTGAGAAATTTTGGACGCGACAATTAGGTGCTTCTACCAAGTGGACGCGGGAAAGGAGGAAAGAGGCTCGTAAATCCCGAGGGAAGCCTGTCGGAGTAGAGAATCCAGTACGCATATGGGCAATTTTTTATCTTAATGGTAGTTCTGCGAGCATTAAACTGAATTAATCGGCTGCTATCATACAATTACTCCATGGGTAATCGGGAAGTTTGCCCCGAGTTCGAACAAAAGGAAACGGATGGTCGGATGGGTGGAAGAGTGTAAAAAACAGATGGTTCAGGAAGTCTAATGTGAAGGTGAAGGGGAGGAAATGAGCGTTAAAGCACCAGTACACCATACATCGGCCCGCGGGTGTCAGCATGAAACCCGCACCACTTCGGAGGCCAACGATTTTTTGTTTTCAACGGCGCGCCGCGCCGCACGGCTCCTCCGAGTTTTGCTTGTGGCGACAAAAACTTTCTGCAAGGCTGAGGCCGTATTCTCGCGGTTTAAGCGGATTGCAAGCATGTTTTAGACGAGGGGGGACAAATTGACGTCATCTTATCTTCGGAAATGGCGGATGGTCAACTTGAAAGGGAAGTGATTCCTAAGTTCTGTAATGAAAAAAATCCGAGAAGAAGCGATCGATCATCTTTTGTTCGTTGTGATTTGGAGTTTTTCCTCCTCGCCCTGTTTTCCCAGTTTTTAAGTCAGGATTTTAGGAGAAAGAGTATACGTTCTTTTGTTTGCTTCAGAAGTAAGGGTCAATCATCTAACATCGGCTGTAAAGAAGGGATAGGGTTTTGAGCTGCAGAAGAAGAAGACCATATGAGTGCAGTGCGATGACTGCATGAGTCTGGGCCGGCGACAAAGGTAACTCAAAGCGCACACAGGCCAGGAGTGGACAAGGGTAGGGGTTCAGCGAAACAAGGCGACCTAATGATCTATGAATAATTAAGGATTGGACAAGGATAGAGACTCAGGGGAGCAAGACAAAGTATAGACTTGTGGAGGTGTTGTATGGATTGCTCATCGGCTGGTAGACGCTAGGATTGACGACCACCCCACACACAGGCCAGGAGTGGACAAGGGTAGGGGTTCAGCGAAATAAGGCGACCGAATGATCTATGAATAATTAAGGATTGGACAAGGATAGAGACTCAGGGGAGCAAGACGAAGTATAGACTTGTGGAGGTGTTGTATGGGGTGCTCATCGGCCGGTAGAAGCTAGGATTGACGACCACCCCATACAACACCTCCTCTGGATCATTGTATCAAAAAAAAAAAAAAAAAAAAAAGAATCATTGCATCCAATCCTCGAACATCCCGTGCCTTACCTGTCTGCGTCTACAAGGGATCCTGAAGTGTAAGGTCATAACTGTTTGGGCTCCTCTGGGCATGAGCAGAAAACTGACGTCTGACGCCTCCCCCTTTCTCCCAGGCCTCGGTACCCCAGGCGTCTGATGCCCTCGGTTGGCACATCCGGCCGCCCGTCTGGGCAAGAGAAAAACAACCGAGGTATCATTCCAGGCAAAAACTCTTTGGCACTTAATTTTCTGACCCACAAGAATTGAGCGTGCTATTGCAAATCACAGCCTCTGCCATAGCCTTAGTTTCAAATTTCAATTGGTTAATCTCATTTTTGAGCCCTAATGGTATTATCTCCATCTGATTCCATCAGTACCCGGAACTCACGTTCTCTTTCTTCACAATTACATGTCTGCTTACTATGCATCCACATGGGCTCTGTACTCTGTAATACAAGTTGATTGCTGTGTAACTCAAGCTAATTGCTGTGGCATGAACTCTCTCTCTTTTTGTTCTCTCTCTCTCTCTCTCTCTCTCTCTCTCTCTCTCTCTCTCTCTCTCTCTCTCTCTCTCTCTCTCTCTC